ACTTTCTTACCAAACACAGTGAACAGCAAAAGTCGGGCGCTCTCCGTGGTGCTGAAACCGAGACGTCCCATCGCTACCAGCTTCCCCGGAGCAGGAAAAAGAGCGGGGGCTAAGTGACTGGGCAGCCGGTGCTGAACCCGCGAAAAGAAAAGAGAGAAAGGAAGGCAGTGAGGGGAGGGAGAGAGAAAATGACAGAAAGAGAGAGAGAAATGGGGGTGGGGAGAGAGAAAGAGAGGAGGATTGCCTCTTCCCAGCGCCAAGAAGTCACGCTCAAATCATCGTGAATGCTGCAGGAAAGAAAAAAAAGTCTCCAGGTTGGGCGTGAGATCCGGTTTGCGCCGCAAAAGCTGCCCGGCACCGAGGAGTTCTGGCTATCCAAACCGACCTCTCCTTTCAAGGTTGACGGGCTTTAACCCAGCGACAGCCTCTGCGCGTTATTAACGTCACGAAGATCCCTTTTTTTTTTCTTTGAAAAGGAAAAAAAAGTCTCTTAAGTTAAAAATGATCGCGGCATACAGTGTCAGTTATTCCCGCAGTGCTGTGGTATCCATGTCTGTGGTAAAGCGACTGCAGGTTGGGGTTGAAATGATGGATGTCTGGAGGGAAACACCGACAAAACCTCTCCCCCTCCTCCCTCTCTCACTATCTCAAACTCCACTTGTGCAAGGTTGAAGCCAAGTGCGTTTGAGAGCGAGAGCTACAAAACGCTCATAATGAGATTTTCACTCTTTCTCTGCCAAAATAAGAGGGGTGTGAACCCGGCACCGGAATCCGTACAGCACTTAGCTTTCTCTAACTTTACACAAGGATGATTTTGAACCCACAAGATCAGAGAAAAATCTGCGCTTATTGACCTTTTGGAATTAGGGCAAAGTGTGAATAAATGTTTTATGTAACACTCACTACCACAAGCCTTATCGAGGGTAGATGCCACACAGACGCACACACATCAGGTTTAGACTTTATTTGATGTTAAGGTGTACTGGAAGATACAGAAAAATCTCACAGCACAACAAGCTTATGCTATACATAAATAATACATATTGTGTATGGCACATTACCTCTTTACCTTTGATGAACACTCCACCTACTCCAAAGGGAGTGGCATATAACACCGGACAAAGTTCCAACCATATATTGACACTACAGCATGCACAGTCGTAAGGCTGCGAGGTACTACGCAAACAGTTTGATTCATTTGTACTGACACCGGATCTTTAAATATGGGTGTAAATGTAAAACTTTAGTAGCATGGATTTATTGTTTCCACTCCAAGCGGAGTAGAACAAAGATGAATGCGTTCTGGTAACTCTCACGGAAATTGCCGGAGTTTTGAAAGTCATGTCTAAACGATCTTTGTGGGAATCCGTTCTTAAGGTAACGCGAGCAAACACGCTTTTTAAGCGTTTGTTTTTCTCAGATGAAAGTCAAACTCGCACTTGACGGAGCTGATGCTGTCGATGCTGGCTTTGCTGTCGACCTGGGGATGTTTTTTAACAGCCTGTGGAAAAGTTTCTGATCGCGGAATCCGCATTGAAAATGCCGTCGGATCCTGTTCCAGCTCTTTCGCATCCTTTTCGAACTCCGGGGAAGTAAAGCGGCGCAACATTTTGTTGCTCAATACAGAGAAGGTCGCGGCTGCAGATGAGGCAGTCGGTGCCTGTGGAGGTTCAGCCTTGCCGGGAGACCTTTCGCGCCTCCTCACGGTTCTAGATTTACGCAAAGGGACCAGAGTGCGCTCGGGAGGTGCGGGGCTGAGCATGCTGGTTGGCAGGCTGCACCTTTTCTTATAATAGCTGTCGGGAAATCTGTGTAGACCGAAGTCTAACATTTTGGTTCGTTCTGTTGCCAACTCATTCTCACTTTTGTTGGCAAGAATGGGGGTCATTAAAATGCCCAGAGCGGAGGGCGCGCTGGGTCTGTGGCTGTTTCTGTTGGGCCGAGGCGAGAACAGTGTGGATCTTTGAGCCTCACAGCCCATCGTTAGAGGGGGGAGGGGGTCATCTGAGGTGGTCGGCCTTCCCTCGCTTTTCGGATGCTTAAGGTTGGTAGAAATACAAGGACGGGGTGCAGGGGTCGAGACTTCAGAGAGGACCAGATAAGGTGGAGGCGAGGAGGCGCCATCGTTCTCCGTTTCAAACTCCTCTATCGAGTTCATGGACGGCAACCCGCTCCGCTTTATCCGCGGGATTGGCTGCCGGGTGCAGTTTGGAGCCAATAGGCAATGAGCATGATTACACGCTCGGAGGACCTCCAGTCTGTCTGCTAAATGTCCAACCTTCTTCTCCAGCTCGCCGGGTCGCAGCTGCGCACTTCCATGAGCGCCTCCGTCCTCGCGGCCCTTTTTGGAATTGTTGGTGAGCGCGCAGATGCATTCAGTGTGACCAAGAAACTTTGCCACTCCAATAGCAGAGTTGCCAACTTTGTTTTGTCGGTCTATCTGAAGACCCAGCCTCTTGAAAGCTCTCACCAAAAACTCGACAACGTGCGCGTGACCTGCCACCGCGGCGTACATGAGCGCTGTGTTTCCCCACGAGTCTACAATCTCCGGGTCCGCGCTGTTTCGGACCAGGATCTTCACCGCGTCCAGGTGTCCCTGCTCACAGGCGTGACTGAGCGCTGTGCGCCCGTTTCCGTCCCTGCAGTTGACGCTGGCGCCTCTGTGCAGCAGGAGCTCTGCAAACTTACACCGAGCCTGGGCATCGGGCAGCAAGACAGAGGAGATGAGGGGAGTCTGTGCGCCCTCCGTTTTGGAGTCCACGATTTCCCCATCCAGCGCATCCAGAACAAACCGGGCCAGGTGGACTTTATCCTTGGAGATCGCATCCAGGAGGATCTTGGTGCCTGTTTTCCCGTTAGACTTCCCGGGAGCTGTTAGCATGTTTATTAGAAGATTATTATCCAATAAGTTTATTAAAATTTATTTACGAAAACTCATCTTTCTATTAGTAGAGCAGGTTTGGAAAACCTCTTTTCCCCCCAACGATTGCTGACAAACAAAGCCTCCACCCTAATTTTATAGTGAAAGGGAAGCTACGGAGGAGTTGCCGGGCAACGCAAACATAATTAGCCTACCACGCTTTGTTCTTCTTTTCTAATGGAAATACTTTGTTTACAATGACATAAAAAAGAGCGTCAGCACTGGAGCCGCCTGTGTTCAAGAGAGGACCTGGCTTATCAATTCACTTGTTGAATGTGATGAGACGGCAGTGGTTATTATTTGTGTGTGTGTGTGTGTGTGTGTGTGTGTGTGGAGGAGGGGGGAGTGCGTGGGTGGTGTGCTCCTGCCCTACAGTGTGCTTTAGAACACAATTATCAAATCAGAGAAGATGAATAATCCACATTACAGCCGGGAGAGTATATGGTAGCATCTGAATGAATCACATTTTCAGTGACATCATTGGTGCAGCTTAACTACAAAACTGGCAGCAGGATGTTTCAGCATTCCAACTAACAAAACATGCTTACCTCACACCCCTGATACACGTCTTCCTCTGGCCTGCAGTGTTTTCTACTATCCTCGATTGTTTTTGTGCAATATTTCTCATGTAAAACTGTAAAAAAGCTAAGCAAACAAAAGAAACTATTTTCTTTCTGTAAAGTTTTACTATGACTGTGCAGAAAGACTGGAGGGCTGGTGGTGATAGTGTGACAGCATGTAAACATTTATGGTGCCCTCCTCAGATGAGCTGCACAAATGACTGCATGGTTGGGAGAAAATTTATTTATTTAGGTTTGGGTAACTTGGGCACAATATTATTAGTGCTGTGTAATACTGTAAATTTAGGTATCAATCCAAAAACCAGGTAAATACAGGACCAGCGTTGCTGATGTCAATAATATTTTTAACTTATAAAGGCAGCTTATGTAGGTGAGAGCAGTGTGTCGTAACTTATGAGGAATCCACATCAATTTCCAAATTCTGAACATTAATGACACTAATTCCCTGCACTTTCCACTTTAGTTAATACAACAAAACACACCTTTCAGATTTTCATGTATTTTAAAACTGGAGCCCTGCAATGTAAATGTGCCCATCTTTAAAGCACTTTAGGTCGACTGTTTTTAAATGTGTTAATAATAAATAAAAAA